TTCATCGAAACCGCCTTGTCTTCCATCTTGGACTCCGAAACCTCGATGGAACTGATACTTTGATCAAGCTGTAGTTTGTTCTCTGCCAACTGTAACATGTTCTCTTCTATAGTTCCTTTGCTGATGAAACGAGTCACTAATACCTCACTGGTTTGTCCGACACGGTGTGCTCTATCCTCGGCTTGTCTATCATCGTGAGGATTGAACGACTGGTCGAATATAACCACATTATTTGCAGCCACAAGATTGATTCCAAATCCTCCAGCTTTGGTGGACAACAAGAACACAGGAATGGTGTCATCATCGTAGAAAGTATCGATCAAATCTTGACGGGTATCCACTGATGTTTGGCCATCCAAACGTAAAAATTTGATGTTGCCGATTGTAAGAACTTTTTCAAGAATATCGAGCATTTGTGTGAATAATGAAAACACCAACACCCTCTCTTTACGAGCCATGATTTCCTTAATGTGATCCATCAACAAACCGACCTTGCCACTGTTAAGCCATTCTTTGTCCTCAAGCACATATTTGCTCAATGTGGGGAACTTGACACATAAATTATTAAGCTCGTAGTCGGACATCACTTCCATGTCCTCATAAATATATTGCTCATTAGCTTCCACATATTCTGGCTCTTTCATGATATCCTTGGCCATTTGCTTCAATTTTTCCTCATCGTAAAGTTTGCGGAAAAGAAGTGGGTGAAGAGCAGCTTTTCTGAGTGCCATCATCACGTTCGATGACGACGTAATTGGCTCGTCACGAGCTTTTTCTGCTTCCTTTCCAGTTAACAATTTCCTTCTTTCCCGTTCTTTTCTGGTTGCTCTACCCCTATTAAGGTGCTCGAGGTATATTTCCTTCTGAGAAGAAGTAAGCTCACAGTATTTGATTTGGTTAGTTTTTCCTGGAAGATGGGTCAATACCTGTGACTTTTTACGCCGAAGAACAAACGGTGTCATCATGGTTTTCGCTTTAGCAATTGCTTGCTGAGAAAGAAGTGGGTTATAATCCTCATCAGCATTAATGGTACTGGCCTTCTTGTTAAATAAACCATGCAAATCTTCCCTTCGTTCGCTGAAAAGATTTGGAAGCATAAATGACAAAAGCGACACCAATTCTTTCAAGTTATTCTGCAAAGGTGTACCAGTAAGAAGCAATCTAAACTTGGCCTTGAGTCTCATCAACTTGGTGTACCGATCAGAGGTGGAATTCTTGAGCAAATGTCCTTCATCATAAACGATCATATTGAAGTCACAATGCTTCAAAAACTTAAAATCAGCTGGAGCACCAGTCGCAAGATTATATGTGGTAACCAATACATCGTAATGGGTCAGTTCAAGATCATACCTAATATCTTCACGCTCACGCTGAGAACCATAGTAAGCCTTTACCACCAACGAAGGACAAAACTTTTTGAATTCTCTCAACCAATTTTCAAGGGTCGATGAAGGAACAATGACAAGATGAGGTCCAGGTTCATTTACTTGTTTCAAGTGGGCCATGAATGCAATAACCTGACAGGTTTTTCCCAATCCCATCTCGTCGGCTAATATACACGAGAGCTTGTTTTGATAAAGAACATTAAGCCAGTTGATACCAACCTGTTGATAGTTTTTGAGTTCCATATCTTCTGCAAAAAGGGTTGACGATCACGAAGATACTTGATGGACTGCTTACCTTCTTCATCAACCACAACCTCGTCATTAACAGGATCCATCTCCACAACGTCTAAGTCGTCCTGATGATTTGGAAATCCACAGAAACACCCCCATTGCTTTCATTTGCTTCGAGATCAACTCAACCGTATACTGAACCTTTTCTTGGATCAAAGAGTCCACTGGTTTATAAACTTTAAGACTAAATTCGGTATTTTCCACCACACGTTGACCCAAAGTCTTCTTCTTGTATCGGCGTCTGGTTTGACGGTCCGCCTTTTCGGCGTCTTCCGCTTCAAACTCCTGCGAAGTAACTTGATAAATATCAATGAAGGGCCGTTTTGGACATGATAATCTCGGCAGTTTTAGGCGGTATGTTACAAATCTCGACAATATCATCGACAGAAGCGCTATTGAGGAACTCAAGCACCTGGGTGTCGATGGAAGTGACATCTTCGTATGCATCGCCGCCATCACCATCGGGACATATCGTCGGGTCAGGGTTTTCCTCCTCTTCTTCACCTTTCCTCTTCAAATCGTCATCTTTCGTCTTCCATCTCATCATCGCTGATTTTCATGGGATTTGGCCGCCCGCAGTCGACGATTCCGGGCGGATCTTGGTCTCTATCCGCTTCAAGTCATCATCGGCAACTATCATATCACTGAGATCCTCGTCACGGAAAGGTCTTTTTTCAGCTTTTTTCTGGGCAGGAACTACTGGGAT